GTGTTGGGGATAGATGCAAAGTACAGCCACTGGTTCAGGTGTTTTCATTTAGTTCTCAGTAGCAAAGTGATGGTTGTTGCTAGTAGTTGTATTATCATTTAATTCTAACTGCTTCTCAGGACTCGAAGGATGAAGAATCCTAAATGAAGTTACTGAAAATTAGTGTTATGACAACGGGCAAATTGCCCAAATTGTTTCCCGTGAGTATGGCATAAATTTTTTGTTTAAGGTGTGTTATTTGCTAGAACAAAAGATGCTGTCAAAAGAACCAAGCAGGAAAGGTGACACACAGAACCTTACAAAAAGCATCAGAGAGCTAGTTAGAAGGTATACACCTTGCTTAGTTTGCGTCGGTTAAAAAAACAGTTTATCCAGAGTAAGAGTAGGATTAAAAAGAATGGGCTTACAGCCCAGATAAAGATGGGGTCCCTGTTTGCCAGAGACTGTGCGGGGCATCAGGAACACCTGGAAGGAGGGCAATGGGGCAGTCTGCCTCTACCCATATCATGTCTCTGCGCTTAGAGAAGGCGTAATAAATCTTGCGAAAGAGAGCATCTGTGTTTGGTGAACTTGGGGTATTGCTTTCTCTCCTGTGAGATATGTAACTCTGTGGTAAGAAAGTCAATAGTGCTTTGACCTGAAAAGGTTGGTTTTGAGAAAATCTGCCTCTCTGATGACAGCTGCAGTGATGGAAGGGACTTTTAGGAAGGAAGCTGAGTTGAGCTTGCCTTGTTATGGCTGAAGAACAAGGGACATACTACCTAGTGAGGATGCTGAAGAACGGGAGGGTATCCTGATTAGAGTAACCTGCGGGAAATTAGATTCATGTCTGAAGAAGAAGGGGTCCAAAGGGAGCCTGACTGCAATAGCGGTTGTGTCTAGCTAGGGGGGAAACACTAAAGCTTATGTTGGCCAAAGCAGTGCAAGTAAGTACTCCAGAAAGCAGTACTGTGCTGGGACCAGGTGTGGCTGAGGTTTGGGTGTCCAGCCATGCTATCGCACTGAAAAAAAACCCTTCCTAGCTTGGGCACTGGCGGCAAAATCTGGCTGGTTCTCAGCCTTCCAGTTAGTTCATAGGAAAAGCCGCGTGGTCTGCTGGTTAGACCTGGAGGCAAACATCCTCGAGGGCCGCACTGTGTGCGCAGGTCTGCTGGTCACCTGGAGGGAGAACTGTGGCTGCTGAGGAGCACTTTGCTGGAGCCTGTGGTGCTTACCGAAGAGCTCTTTGTTGCACAGTAGTTTGTCAGGACATCTCACGCTCTCCTCTAAAGCTCCCCAGGCTGTTGGTCGTCTTGATTTGAACACCTCTATCCTCCTCCAGCATACGTAGTGTTTTAACACTTCTCCACAGCTCTACTGCGCCACTTTTTAGGAGCATTAAGTTCAAAGCTGAAAATAGCTTTTGAAATGACTGAATGTCAGACCTGCAAAGTATTACTGTACTTTATTGATAATGTTGTTTCCATAATAAAAATATTTGAAACAAAGTATGATATCCTCTGTGAGCTTCACATAAATGTTTCCATTATATTGCTGATACGGATCAGAAAAATTTCAGTATGCACATCCTGCAAATGCAAGTGTAATTGATACAAGGTATGTATCTTAACGTACATCTTGAGTAAACATAAGAAAACCGTACCCTAATGGAAAACAGACTTTGTCTTACAACGTATAATCACGCTTTTACATCTAAACTGGACTCTGGGTTTAGAAAACAAATCTTAAATCAGTCCTAGTCAGAGGACAAATCACAGTTCACATACTTGTAAAAAACTTTTGTTCTAGGAAAGCCTTTTGCGGAAAAGCTTGGGAAACTCCATCCAGCTACAGTGGTGGAGGGGTGGGAAAGGAGGGACCGAGGTATCCGTTCAAACAATCTGAGGAAAAAGTTGAATAAACATTGAAGACAACAGAATAGAAACCAGATGCCAAATATTAATTCAAGGGGATTTTGAGATTTATTTTAATTGTTGTTGAAAGAAAAAGATTAATTTTTGGATGAAAAATGTATGCAAATTCAGCTCTGGTCAACACTAAAAAAACCCCGTTCCCTACTCAAAGCGGGAAAAAAAGCAAAGCAAAGAAACCTGCAACATCAACTCCTTAATCCCCTGAGGTGGCCTTTAACTTGGGTTTGGAAAGAGCAGGAAAAGAAAAAAAAAGCTACATGAGACTAATAAAAAATCAAGGGACATGGATGTGGTGCAAAAGCGGGAAATCTCGAGGAAGTGATGTGATGTGTAAACCAGAGAACGATGAGGCTGCTCCCGAGTGTCCACAATGGTGTTTGGAGTACAAGGAATAAATAGGAAGAAGCTCTCCATCCAGTTTGCCGGCCCCACAAGGACTGCGTGGGCACCATGGGGTCATGAGGGAATAAACCCAAAGGCTGCAATGATGAAGGTATACATACATATATATATAGAGAGAGAGAGAGCATGCTCCATCAACTGATGTTCAGTGGGAGGTGTGGGGCAGACTTGCCGAGCGTCTCTCCGAAAAGGCGGCACCGTAATCACAGGAAAGCACAGCAAGGGTTTGTTCCTGCTCGACGAGAAGAGATGGGACAGCTGGGGCTTTCGCTGAATGAAGGACAGAGGCTTCCGCAGAGCTGCGCTCAGGGGATCGTAACCGCTCGGGCACCGCATGGCGGGACAGGACACACTTTGGCGTCGGCCCGCAGAGATGGCGGGCAGGAGAACGCCGTACCAGCGCCGGGAGGGAGCCAGCGGCCAAGGCAGCACGGGCGGGAGGGTAAGCGACAGCGAACACAGCATGGCCCAGTCCTTCGCTGCTTGTAAAGGAGTGAGAGCGGGGAAACAACGGGCTGGTGGGCTTTAAAATAATCACCCGAGCTGCCTAATGTTAACAAACACCCTGTGGGAGAGTTAGCAGCTGCTGAAAGGGGCTCTGTAAAGCAAAGTGACAAGCTGTCCTGCTATGGAGGGAAGGTCAGACACAGGATGGGTGCATCCTGGCTTGTGCCAGGAATAGTGTGGGCAGCAGGAGCAGGGAGGTGATCGTGCCCCTGTACTCAGCACTGGTGAGGCC